GCATTCAGTACTTTAAGTTAGAACTGTTACAGTCATTCCAATATTGTGAAGTTTCAAGCTTTGATGTCAATTTCATTTGCATATATATCCCACCGAAAGAAATATAATTAAATTTATGCTTGTAACAGTAGAAGAACCCCAACACACTCATATAATTCTTCTCTTTATTTGCTTTTCCAGAGAATAGTCATCTTTTGCTTTTGTTCGGATGAATAATAAGAAATAAAAGTGTTGCAAACCAACGTTTGTTTTAAGTTTTTTCGAACCATCATGACTTTTCGTGGATCTTCAAAATTTGTTCTTCGAAATAACTATATTTTTTAAGTAGGATATTTATGTTAATTAGAAGGGTACTTTTGTAATTTAACTTTTAGGTTAAGGGCTTCCCACTTTTAATATAAAAGAAGAGGAACAATATTGCAGAGAAAGAGAGAGAGGGAATTCTTATGGAATTTTGGGATGAATTACAATAGAATATAACCCTCTATTTATAGGGAGAGAGTGACTTAGCCACCAAGTAATAAACCCTAGAATCTCTCTAAATATAGACATTCACCATAAATAAAGTTCTATTTATAACACTCCCCTTGTATGTCTATTCAACAGATAATGTGCCTCGTTAAAACCTTAACTAAAATAAAACCCAGTGGAAAAAAAATTCTAGAAAAGGAAAAAGAGTACACATGTTTAGAAATGCACCTTTTGGTTGCCTCGTTAAAAATCTTGCAACGAAAATCCAGTGGGACAAAACCTTGTAAGGGAAAAAGAGTGCAACGCACATTAACTCCCCCTGATGAGAGCATCAATTCACATCCTTGAGTCTCCTCATCCCAATCTTGTACACTAGCGTTTTGAAGGTTGAAGTCGGTAGAGACTTGGTGAACAAATCAGCCATATTATCACTTGAACGAATTTGTTGCACATTGATATCACTATTCTTTTGAAGATCATGAGTAAAAAATAACTTTGGTGAAATGTGCTTTGTCCTATTTCCTTTTATGAATCCTCCATTCAATTGGGCTATGCATACTGCATTGTCTTCATACAAAATTATGGGTAGTTTGTCACACTTCAAACCACATTTGTCTCGAATAAGATGTATTATAGACCTCAACCACACACATTCTAGACTTGCTTCATGAATAGCAATTATCTCAGTATGATTAGATGAAGTATCCAAAACTGATTGCTTAGTCGATCGCCAAGATATGGCAGTCCCCCCACAGGTAACACATAGCCTGTTTGAGATCGAGCCTTGTGTGGGTCAGATAAATACCCAGCATTGGCATAACCAACAAGATCAGGACTGCAATTAGTGCCATAAAATAAGCTCATATCGGTAGTTCCTTTTAGATACCGTAATATGTGTTTGATTCTATTCCAATATCTCCTTGTAAGAGCAGAGCTATATCTTGCTAAGACATTAACTGAAAAAAGTTTTGTCAGGCCTTTTAGCGTTAGCAAGATACATTAGTTCACCAATTACACTAAGATATGGTACTTCAGGAGTAAGTAGCTCTTCATTCACTTCTTGAGGTCGGAATGGATCCTTATTCATATCAAGTGATTGAACAACCATCGAAGTACTTAATGGATGTGCTCCATCCATGTAAAACCGTTTCAATACCTTTTTTATATAGGCAGATTGATGAACAAAAATTTCGTTTGCTAAATTTTTAATTTGCAAACCAAGACATAATTTTGTCTTTCCGAGATCTTTCATCTCGAATTCCTTCTTTAAATAATCAATTTCCTTTTTGGAGTTATATAAGAGTTCCAATAAAGTTTATGTCATCAACATATACGGCAAGTACAATAAATTCCGATGTTGTTTTCTTTATAAAAACGCACGGGCAAATGGTATCATTTATATAGCCTTTCTTTAATAAATACTCACTAAGACGATTATACATTCATCCTGATTGCTTTAGACCATATAAAGATCTTTGCAATATGATTGAAAACATTTCCTGGGACTTTGAATTATTTGCGTTGGGCATTTTAAATCCCTCGGGAATATTCATGTATATCTCATTATCAAGTGAGCCATAAAGGTATGTGGTAACCACATCAATTAAATGCATGTCAGCTTTCATGGACATCAAAACTAATAAGATAATGAAATGTTATAGCATCCATAACGGGTGAATATGTCTCTTCATAATGGACACCAGACCTTTGTGAAAATCCTTGTGCAACAAGACGTTCCTTATATCTTTGTACCTCATTTTTCTCATTACTCTTGCATACAAAGACTCATTTATAGCCAACAGGCTTAACACCATTAGGTGTTTGGATTACAGGCCCAAAAGCTTTACGTTTTGCAAGTGAATTCAACTATGATTGGATTGTTTTTTGCCATTTTGGCCAATCACGTCTTTGTCGACATTCTCCAATAGATTGATGTTTAAGATCCTCACTATCTTGAATAATGCTAGATGCAACATTATATGCAAAGACACTATCCACCACTATATCCAATTGATTCAAATTTGTCTCAATATCGATTGGATTTATTGATAGTTCCTTATTTGTTTGAGTCTCGGGCTCAGTGGTTTCCTCATGAATCTCAGATTTGTTAAATCGTGAATTTCTTCATGAGATTCTTTTGTAGTGTTATTTTGATCATTTGTTTTCTTTTTTCTAGGATTTCGATCCTTAGAACCTAATGGTCTGCCACGTTTTAGGCATGCTTTTGACTCATTAGATATGACAGTAGAAGATTGTCCAATAGGGACATCAATACGGATTGGAACATTCTCTGCAGGGATATGTGATTTTGTTATCCTTTTCAGATCCGTAAATGCATCTGGCATTTGGTTTGCTATTTTTTGTAAATGAATAATTTTTTTCACCTCTTTTTCACAAATAGAGGCACGTGGATCAAGATGAGCCAATGATGGATTTTCCACAAAATTTTCCGTTTCTTTTCACAATTTTCTCCCCTAATTTTGGGAAAAGTGTCTCATCGAATCGACAGTCTGCAAATCGTGCACTGAACAGATCCCCCGTTAATGTTTCAAGATAGAGAATAACGGAGGGCGATTCAAACCCAACATATATTCCTAACCTTTTTTTGGGACCCATTTTGGTGCGATATGGCGGTGCTACAGGAACATATACTGCGCATCCAAAAATTTTTAAATGGGATATATTAGGTTCATGACCCAAAACTAATTGCAACGGAAAGTATTTATGATAATTTGTCGGTCTGAGACGAACTAGCATTGCTGCATGCAAAATGGCGTGACCCCAAACAGAAGTGGGTAACCCTCGTTTTCTTGAGTAACGGTCTTGCTATTAATTGCAGACGTTTAATTAAAGACTCTGCTAGGCCATTTTGAGTGTGAGCATGAGCTATAGGATGTTTCACTTTTATCCCGATTGATAAGAAATAATAATTAAATGCTTGGGATGAAAACTCAGCAGCATTATCAAGTCTAATAGACTTAATTGGAGTATCAGGGAATTGCGCCCGTAATCGAATTATTTGTGCCATTAATTTTGCAAACGCGAGGTTGCGAGATGACAATAGGCACACATGAGAACATCTAGATGATGCACCTATTAAGACCATAAAATATCTAAACGACCCACTAGGTGGGTGAATAGTTCCACAAATGTCCCCTTGTATACGTTCTAAAAATGCAGAGGACTCAATCCCAACCTTTGTTGGTGATGGTCTTATAATTAACATGCCTTGATAACAAGAAGTTCAAGAAAATTCATTATTTAAAAGAATCTTTAAATTCTTTAATGGATGCCCATTTGAGTTTTCTATAATTCGTCTCATCATAATTGATCCAGGGTGTCCCAATCGATCATGCCAAAGTACAAAAGTATTGGAATTAGTAACCTTTTTGTTTACAGTAGAATGTGCCTCAATTGCACTAATTCTTGCCCAATACAGGACACAAGATAAAGATGTGAACTTCTCAATAACCCTCTTTTAGCCAGAGACATTCTTGGTAATTATGATATATTCAAGATTATTCTCATCTATTGTCTCAATATGATATCCATTTCGGCGGATATCTTTAAAACTCAACAAGTTCCTCTTGGACTTGGAGGAGAACATTGCATTCTCTATAATAAGTATTGTTCCCTTAGACAGAGTTATAGTAGCTCTTCCAGAGCCTTCAGTTAATTTACTACTACGAGAAATTATAGTAACATCTGCCTTATGCATACTTAAATGAGAGAAATATTTCTTCTCTTTGAATATTGTATGTGTTGTACATGAATCAACTAAACAAATATTTTTACAATTGAACGTTGATCCAAGTTTGCTTTGTGAGATATCTATATTTGCTTCCCATTATTTGACATACAAAAGAAATATATAAATAAATATTAGTATTTTTAGAGAAAAAAATAGGAGAATAACAGAGTTAAACCAATAATTCAATAATGATCTTGTAATGCAATTTTGAGCAAACTCTAATTATCATACAAATAATTACATAGCTAAAAATAATGAAATTATGAGTACACTACACATATGACTAATACAAGTACAATAAATTTATTTACATTATATAACTTATTTGATTTTGTATTTACAACAAATTGCATTTCACTCGGTTTAACATAACAAAATAAAACTGAACAGTGTAAAAATTATTAAAGTAATGACCGTACAGCATTTTCTTGTCGTCATTAGACAAATCATTTAAATCAAATACCTTTGATGCACATTAGTCATAAGTACATATCTGTTTTATCCATATACATGTCATAAGTTGGAAATCTTTTTGTATCCATTAACTGACGCATCTATATTTTGTGAGCAACAACATTTATATGATTAAATTGCAGCTCTATAGATCCTAACAACAGAAACATTGTTGGCTTCTTGGGATTTGACAACGAACCAACACTATTTAATAAAACAAATAATATTAATTGATACTAATCACTATTACTCATTTAAAGAACTACGATTACATGATGTTTATTCACTAACTAGTACGAATAGGCAAAAATAAAATTTAAACTACTCAATCATCTTTCACCATAGATCCATCACCGATCAAGCGGTCTATTTTCCTATCATGGTACTCAAAGAAGTCTGCCACATCCAAGTGGATGATGTCAAAATTATTGTCAGAGACAAAATTGGCTTCAGGGCCTTTATTCTTTAGAGATGCTTGATAAAGCTCAACCAAATGTCTTGGTACACAACAAATATTTGCCCAATGCCCTTGTCCACCGCAACGATAGCATTCAGTTTCTGAACCATTTACGTTTGGCTTCTCATCTTTCCCTTTCCATTTTTGGTGGTTATTTCTCTTTGGGGGATGATTAACACCAGGAAAATTTCTTACTTGTCTACGGCCACAACCACGACCACGACTAGAGTCACAGCCTTTTCCACGCTTAGCATAATGAGAATACACCTCATCCACTTCAGGCAATGGTGTAGATCCAGTGGGTCGATTTTCGTGATTTCTCATGAGCAAATCGTTGTTTCTTTCAGCCACAAGGAGAAGAGAAATCAACTCAGAGTACTTCTTGAAACCTTTCTCTCTCTACTGTTGTTGCAGGACCATACTGGAGGCATGAAATGTTGTAAACATTTTTTCAAGCATATCATAGTCAGTGATAGTATCTCCACAGAGTTTCAACTTAGAAGTAATTCTGAACATCGCAGAATTATATACAGAAACAGACTTAAAGTCTTGGAGCCTCAGATGAGTCCAATCATATCGTGCTTGTGGAAGAGTGACCAACTTTAAGTTGTCATATCTTTCCGTTAAGCCATTCCACAAAACAAGTGGGTCTTTGACTGTGTGATATTCTATTTTCAACCCTTTATTAAGGTGATGACGCAAGAAAATCAAGGCCTTAGTTTTCTCTTTAATGGCGTCTCCAAGACCCATTGCATCAACATGGATTTCAGCATCCAACACCCATGTCATATAGTTCTTGCCCGAAATTTCAAGGGCAACGAACTTTCTTTTCATAATATCAGTCATAATTAAAAGAGGAGAAAAGTTATACCTTAGTCTTCTCAAAGAGCTTCTTGAGACGGTACAGTCTCGTGCTAATAAAGTGTAATGAAACAATAAAAGAAGAAAAATAATATTGCAGAGAAAGAGGGAGAGGGAATTCTTATTAAATTTTGGGATGCTCTATTTATAACCCTTTATTTATAGGGAGAGAGTGACTTAGTGTCACGACTCGGATTTTCCACCCTCGGGGGTCGTGATGGAGCCTACTAATGAAAGCTAGGCAAGCCAATGGTTCCAATTACTTAACCTTTCTCATATATTTTAATCCTTTAACAATGGTGAACAACACCATATAAACATCGGAATTAAGCAGAAGAAAAGAGATGTAACGATTATTACCAACAAAATTCCATAACTAAAAGCTACCCAGATCTAGTGTCACAATTTCACTGACTGTCTAAGAGTACTACAAACAAAAGGTCCGAAAGATAAATACAAACTGCTTTAGAAATACATAGAAAAAATAGTATAGAAAGATAAAAGTAGACGCCAAGGCCTGCGGACGCCTGCAGGACTACCTCGGGTTGCCTGAATGGACTGAAGACAACACCCTCACTGCGGTCCAAAAGTTGCTGCACCGGGATCTACACACAATGCAGAGTGTAGTATCAGCACGACCGACCCCATGTGTTGGTAAGTGCCTAGCCTAACCTCGGCAAAGTAGTAATGAGGCTAGGACCAGACTACCAAATAAACCCGTGCAGTTAAATCATATACAATGGAAAATAAAAGCAGATATTCACAGTTAAAGATGGGAAGGGGAAAGCATGCTACGGGGAGTATCAGATAACAACAAAATACCAAAGAGGAATGTAAAGAAATCATAATTTAATTGACAACAATAATGAGGAAAACAAACACAGTATTCACATTCATTTCTTTCTTGTTGCAGGCGTGCAACCCGATCCTATTTCATATATCTCGTTACAGGCGTGTAACCCGCTCCTATTTCATATATCTCATTGCAGGCGTGCAACCCGCTCCCATTTCATATATCTTGTTGCAGGCATGCAACCCGCTCCTATTTCATATATCTCATTGCAGGCGTGCAACCCGCTCCCATTTCATATATCTTGTTGCAGGCATGCAACCCGCTCCTATTTCATATATCTCGTTGCAAGCGTGCAACCCGCTCTCATTTCATATATCTCATTGCAGGTGTGCAACCCGCTCCCATTTCATATATTTCCGTGGCGGCGTGCCAACCGATCCCATTTACAAATCATCATCAATCACAAAGAATCCCGACAAGAAAATAAGAGTATAACAACAATATCCCGGCAAGGGAAACAATATCATTAACAATAACCTCCTGGCAAGGGAGACAATGTCATAACAATAACATCCCGGCAAAAGAGACAATATCATAAACAATAACATCCCGGCAAGGGAGACAATATCATAAACAATAGCATCCCATCAAGGGAACCAACAATGATAATCAACATATTAAGCATGAATAAATCTCAACGAAGCCACAACAATTACAACACTAGACCCATGGCCATGCTTGACACCGACGTATAGATACTCGTCACCATGCCTATACGTCGTACTCCTCAATTAACACATAACAAATAAGACCCAACTCCTAATCCCTCAAGCTAAGGTTAGACCAAACACTTACCTCGATGCCATTAACACAATTCAAGCCTCAACTACCGCTTTACCTCTTGTTTCCACCACCAGTTTGACCGTATCTACCCACAAGTTACTTAACTATATCAATAAATGCTAACTGAATCAATTTTACTACATGAAAATAAGTTTTCCAATGTTTTTTCCAAAAGGTCAAAAATCGATCCCGAGCCCACATGGTCAAAACCCGACGTTCAAACCAAAACCCGATTACCCATTCACCCATGAACCCAAATATATAATTTGTTTTGAAATCGGACCTCAAATCGAGGTTCAAATCCTCAAAATTTGAAAAAGAAACTAACTTTTACCCAAAACACCTAATTTCCCCCATGAAAACCCTTGATTTTGAGTTAAAGTCATGTGAAAGGATGTTAAAGATTAATGAAAACGAATTAGAAATGACTTACAATCGATTTGGAAGAGTACTTGTCTTTGAAAAATCACCCAAAGGTGTTTAGGTTTTGAAAACGTTTGAAAAATTAAACATTTTCGGCTAAATTATGAATTTGCAGGTCGAAGATGTCTCAATTGCGACCAGGGTTCGCAATTGCGAACCCCTTCAAAACCTGTTGACTTCGCAAATGTGAAGATTTTGTCGCATTTGCGACCAAGTGCAATTTTTGTCACCTTCGCATTTGCGTGGGACCCTTCGTAAATGCGATATCACATTTGCGATACAAACGTCGCATTTGCGACCAAGGTAGCCCAGGTCGACTTTCGCATTTGCAGTACTTTTCTCGCATTTACGAACCAGGCCTGCAGACATGCAATATACCAGCAATTTCCTAAGTCCAAATTTCACTCCGTAGCATATCCAAAACTCACCCAAGCCATCAGGGCTCCAAACCAAACATGCGCGCAAGTCCAAAAATATCATACGGACTTGCTCGTGCGATCAAATCATCAAAACAACATCAATAACTATGAATTTAGCATCAAAATCAAAGAAAATCTCAACAACTTTCAAAGCTTCAAATTTTACAACTAATGTTCCGAATCACGTTATATGACCTCCGTTTCTAAACAAATTTTATAGTCTGAACTTAAATCACATATAAGACATGTATCGGGCACCGAAACCAAAATACGGGCATGATACCATCAAATTCAAACATATTTCATTTCCAAAAACTCATATATATTCCAGAAAATAATTTTCTTTAAAAATTCATTTCTCAGGCTTAGGACCTTGGAATTTAATTCCGGGGCATACGCCCAAATCCCATATTTTTCAATGGACCCTCCGGGATCATCAAATCATGGGTCCGGGTCCGTTTACCCAAAATGTTGACCGAAGTCAACCTTAATTCATTTTAAAAACAAAATTCACGATTTTCACATAATGGCTTTCTGGATACACGCTCGGACTGTGCACACACAACGAGGTGAGTCAAAAAGGAGGTTTTAAGGCCTCACAGAATTTATTTCTAAAACAAGTGATGACCTTTTGGGTCATCACATTCTCCACCTCTAAAACAACTGTTCGTCCTCGAACGGACATAAGAAGAAAGTACTTGAGTCGGAGAAAAGATGGGGATAACGGCTTCGCATATCAGAATCAGATTCTTAAGTCGATGCCTCAACAGGCTGACCTCTCCACTGAACACGAACAGAAGGGAAACTCTTCGATCTCAACTGACAAACCTACCGATCTAGAATAGCTACTGGCTCCTCCTCATAGGACAAGTCCTTGTCCAACTGGACAGTGCAGAAGTCTAACATGTGGGATGGATCGCCGTGATACTTCCGAAGCATGGACACATGAAACACTGGGTGCACGATTGATAAGCTCGGTGGAAATGCAAGTCTGTAAGCCACCTCTCCCACTCGATCAAGAATCTCAAACAGGCCAATGAACCTAGGGCTAAGCTTGCCCTTCTTCCCAAACCTCATCACGCCCTTCATAGGAGACACCCAAAGCAACACCCGCTCACCGACCATGAATGTCAAATCACGAACCTTACGGTCGGCATAACTCTTTTGCCTGGACTGAGCTGTACGAAGCGTATCCTGAATAATTCTGACCTTGTCCAAGGCATCCTGTACGAGATCCGTACCCAACAACTGATCCTCTCTTGGCTCAAACCATATAGCCAACAATCGACACCGCCTACCATATAAAGCCTCATAAGGAGCCATCTGGATGCTCGACTAGTAGTTGTTGTTGTAGGCAAACTCCGCTAAAGACAAAAACTAATCCCACGAGCCTCCAAAGTAAATGACACAAGCTCGGAGCATATCCTCCAAAATCTGAATAGTACGCTCGGACTGCCCGTCCATCTGAGGATGAAATGTTGTACTCAACTCTACCAGTGTGCCCAACTCACGCTGAACGACTCTCCAGAATTGCAAGATAAACTGCGTACCTCTGTCCGAAATGATAGACATGGGCACACCATGAAGGCGAACAATCTCCCGGATATAGATCTCAGCTAACCTCTCCGAAGAATAGGAGATTGCCATAACAATGAAATATGCTGACTTGGTCAGCCTATCAACAATAACCCACAATGCATCCAACTTCCTCTGAGTCCGTGGGAGTCCAACAACAAAGTCCATAGTGATACGCTCTCACTTCCACTCAGGAATCTCTATCTTCTGGAACACACCACCAGGTCTCTGATGCTCGTACTTTACTTGCTGACAATTCAAACACCGAGCCACATAGACAACAATATCCTTCTTCATCCTCCTCCATCAATAATGTTGCCACAGATCCTGATATATCTTAGCGGCGCCCAGATGAATAGAGTACCGGGAACTGTGGGCCTCCTCTAAAATCAACTTTCGGAGTCCATCCA